TTGAGGTCGCTCTGTACGATCACACCAAGGTCACGTTCCTGGGAGCTATTCTGCAATCCGTTTGTCCCAAGTATGTAGGTGTAGTTATGTCTATGGCGTAATTGTACAACGCGCCATTTGTCTACGTTGAACGGTAGAGCGTTTTGAACCGACCAGTTCGACACTGTGTTAAGATCGCACTGGAGCCGTCCGTGGTCTTCCGGTCCTCTGGTCCTTCGCCATATCTTGATATCATCAGCGAAAAATAGGAAATCGGAATTAATTGATCTCGCCAAATCGTTAATGAACACCAAGAATAGACGAGGTCCAAGAACCGAGCCTTGTGGTACTCCACATGCCACATCGATTGCATGAGAAAATGATTCTCGGACTCTCACCACTAGCCGTCGTTCTTGTAGAAAATTGCCAATCTAACTCAGGCTTGGGTCGCCAATGCCGTGATTCCGAATCATGTGAAGGAGAATGCGATGGTCTAAGCGATCAAACGCTTTTGAGAAGTTCAGGTAGATGACATCGACTCCAACTCCATCATCAACAGCTTCAGTCCAGCTATTACGTGCAATTAATAGGTTAGTATTACACGAATGCTTTTGACGAAAGCCATGTTGCTCTGGGGCTATTAAACTGTGGCTTTGCAGGTATTGCATCAGCGCGTCTGCGATGATTGATTCCATCACTTTGGATATTACGGGAAGTAGTGTTATTGGACGGTAGTTGGCAGGATCAGTGCGGCTACCTCCTTTATGGACAGGAGTTACGACCCTTCGCTTCCATACTGGTGGAATACGATTCTCTTCTACACCATTTCCAGGCCAAGTTGTCCTCCTGGGCGAGAAAAATAATCTGAGGGGGCATTCAACATGAGTCTACTCAATTAATTTGTTCCGTGCGTAGGAGCCGATGCGTCCTACCTGCACCCCTATGACTTAATGCATCTGAGGTCCAATTGGCTGAAGGCGACGGGCTATACACGCACACCTACACACCTGCACAAGCGACTGGCGTGCGTACGAAAAAAAGTAATTGAGTAGACTCATGGTGAATGCCCCCTCAGATTATTAATGTTGCCCAAGAGGACAACTTGGCCGGGAAATGGCATAGACATCGCTGATAGAAAACAGGCAGTGGTTCTGCTAGATCACTAGCTACCGCCTTCAGAGTCTTTGGTCGGATGTTATCAGCTCCGGAAGAACTGTGGATACGCAAGGATAACAACTTCTTCAACACAGCTTCTGCAGTAAAGGGGATGATTTCTAAACCAGATGGGGGAGTATTAGAAATGCGAAGAATGTTTGGGCTCGATACCTGCTGGAAAGTTTGGGAGTAATGAAGTCGTAGGAGATCACCTGCTTCCATTGCTGATCGCGTGCACCCATCAGCCGTGATTAGCGCTGGAACCTCCCGCTTCCCCTTTAGAAGGCCGTTAACGTGCCTGTACAGGAGTTTGCGGTTAGTGCAGAATCACTTCATTAACTCCTGCTGCTGCGTGACATCGTCTTCGCGGATCAGTTTCACACAGGAGTTATGAAGTGGCACGTTTGCAGTCCAGGTTTCGGCATTCAAGCGGTCCTGGTGATCTCGTCATGCAAAATCTCTCTGGGACATACATTTACGTGTTCTGCTCCTCAGAAATGACTTATGCTTGTTTCTGTGTTGGAAGGACTTCTGTTCCGATGCGTGCGCAACCAGTGTGCTTAACGTCTTTGTAAATGTTTCCCAGGCAACATCTGGGGGCATTCGGTTAAGAACAAGATGTATCCTTAAAATGCTTAGATAACACATTTTAATGCGTGACAGTATGCACTTTATCCTCCTCCAGTAAAGGAGGACAAGTCAAAGTACGAAAAAACGATCGACCAAAACACAGGGGACCTGGTGCGAGCAAGTTCAAAGAAAGTTGGAAAGCTCCGTACACGGTAATTGATCAAAAAGGAGGAAACTTCCAATTGACAGTTGGACGGCGAAACGCTGGTTAAATGTAACTCTACTGCGGCCATGATATTCGAGGGAAAAGCAACTTCGAGCAGGGGCTGGTGTAGTGGCGCGCGAGGCAACGATCATGCAGGAAACTGAAAAGCCAGTATAATGAGCGAGGACCGAAACGGGCGCAGACATCATGGACGAGACCGGACGGCGCAACGCCAACCCAACAATACGAACGGAGAGCAGAACTCGAGCAACCAACGGGAACGTGCCTGAGCCAAAGAGTACGGAAAAGGGATGCGTCGATAGGCCAATAAATCAGACAGAAACACCTTTGTCGGTGCATCCAGGAGTAACCCCAAGCCAAATAATGCAACCGAGATGAAACAAATCAAGAGTTTTAGAACAACTCCGGGCTGATCAGAATGCGAGCTTCGGAAGCAAAGCTACGGGGTCAGACAGGCAGCCAAGACCCCCAAAGATGCAGGCCAACGTGGCATGAACGTGACATCATGTGATTCCCCCCCTGTATGTTGTATTGTGGGAAGGAAAGATTATCGATAAATGCGGGCGTGAGCGCGACTTGTGAAAACCGTGGTCACGTGCAATAAAGATTGTGTTTGCTTTACGCTGCTTTAGTACTACAATATGCCATGAGAAGAGCGTCGTTATCACATAAAGTAGATTCAGCTAGGTGTAACGAAACTTTTCTGGACTGTACTAAAGTAAAGACTATGTCCTGAACCATCCCAGCTATAGGCCTGGATACAGCCGAATTGCTGAGCGGAATCGCTTGAGCTGATTCTAGTGGATTCATTTGCATCAGGTTTGACACTATTATTGATACTGGAGGCAGGATAATAATTTCTCCAACCCTATTTGAATTGCAAAATTTTGGCAATCAACTTGCTGCTTTTCTAAGAAGCCGTAAGTCTATTTGCCTTTTCTTGCCCTGTCAGAAGCAATCGTCTTTAAATATTTTTAAGGCTTTTATCGAAGTAGTTCACAAGCTACACAGCACAGCTTAATCCGGAAAAGCACCATGCGCGTTTCACCCCATTGGGGCTCGTCAGCGGTGCGCATTCCCTCGGTCCCCTAATGTGGATCGAACCCATGACCGCTAGAGGCAGATGTCAACTAGTTAGCAGCTTAAGTGATTGAGCCATGGGGGACTTTGGATGGACAATATAATCCGCAAACTAACTGGGATATAGCATGACCTATCTTCCACTGTCACAGACATTGGCCAGTCGATGAGGTCATGACGTCCTCCGGCTAGACGCTATATCCATAGCACTTGAAACCAGGAGAGGCTGTGTATTTTATATTACTTCTGAGTATCCGGATTTCAGTTATAACTTGTTTAAAGTTGTTCGTTTTCGAAACTATCCTGCAGATTTGTGGAAAAAACCCCAGACTTCTCGCTTTCCTCCTTATGAAAACATTCCAAATGTTTTTTCAGTTTACTTGATCGCAAACTTGCACTTGAGTGTTTTGGTAAATTGAACACTTAGAAAAACTTGGGTTTTGGGATGATTCGATAAACAAACGACAGATATTCCACGGATTACTGACGACACTTCTCATTGCCGAAGAGCTCATTACTGAAATATGTCCTTGTAAAAGGTTACGATATAATATATGTATGTATTGCTTATGTTTTATTTTTCTTACACAGTTATATCATGGGTAATAAATAACAACATTCGACGAGGCGAAATACGCAGATTGTATGAATGATTGGTGTCACAAAATGTATTGGCGTGACCGTGAGACTATAAGACATTTGGTAAGCATACTTGTAGCATCTGTTGGTGGCTACGATGATAAAATGCAAGTGTAGGAATATTGTTAGAGGCAAACCAAAGGGGTTTCTGAAAATGCCGTGGATATTTAAAATGACTGAAGAAAACAAGTGAAACTCAGAAAATAACAATGTTTGTTGGACACACATTCACTGCAGGAAGGTTGTAGCAAGCGGTGGCATCAGGTACAATGAAAGACAAAAACAACAAACACGAAAGAAAATGCTGGATAGTTCAAGAAACCGTCATGGGAGAGCCAAATGCGGAACTAATATAGTCCATCTGCTGTTGCTAAAGATGGCCCCTAATGTGTGCTGGCAAGGTATTTGAGTATTATGAAGTATCTGTATGTGCACATTACGAAGTACCCCATGCGCGCAGAGCAGCCACTCCAATTCAGAAGGTTGCGGGCGAAAGTGACCTCACAGCCAGACGTACATGCGAGGTAAGACTGGAGACGAAAAGCGTAACCTAGCCCTACCGCACTAAGACCCGAAGGAGAGACTGACCCGCACATGAGCTGTAACACAGTGGTAGTGTCCTGAAGAAAACTAAGTTAATGTCAGTGTGGCTTGTGCGGTAATGGTCGTCGTGTTCTGATGAGAGTTCGCTACGTTCTCTGCAGTTTGCACAGTAGATGCATCATTGTCCTGAGTATAGCGTGGCTGGTTCAATGTGGATAGGCATCAAAGTCCTGAAGACGAATCAGTTGTTAGCTGCGCCGTCTAATTCGCCGTACGGTGCTTGTGTGTTTGAGCAGAGCCCGCCGAAATCCGCGCAAGTTTGGCGAAGCTACGCCCGCCCGGCAACGGAAAGTCTGCTCGGTTTGGATTTCACAGCTACTTACACAGTCACTTGCACGCGCGTACTTCATTTCAATGTCCAGTAGTTACCAGAGAAAACCAGTGCACGGTGAGAAATTAGCAGAAGTATTTTAATGTGGATTTGGTTATGTGTTTGCACAACCCACTTTTCACAGCATGGGCCCCTAAAATGTTTCCTCATCCCAGGGCCTCCAGGAATTCACTTTGGCCCCCAGGGGGGCCATATGACTCCCGCTGAAAATGACTGTCTTAGCCCATATATTGATCCATAACTGTCCCAAGTGTATCATTACAATAAGCATGAAGGACAGCGAAGGTTCTTCCATGGGGAAGTGTTCTTTGCGAATTGGGTTTATTTGTATTGGGCGCCAGCATGCCTAATGAAAAAAAGAAACAATGCGGCACCTCACTGCGGTTGGATGATGAGCATCTTTCGTGATAAACTCACCTCACAAGTGAAAGGTTTCTCCCCATTGTGAACGCGCATGTGGTTTTTCAAATCCGTTGGATTGCAGAAGCTGTGTGCGCATTTGGGACAGGAAAATCGTTTCGCTTCGTGAATGCGCACGTGTGTTCGCAAATACGACTCTGTTGCAAAATCGGCGCAACAAATACCGCAGATATATTGACGTGGCCCATGAACACGCTTTTTGTGGTCTGCCAAAGCTGCCGGACCCCTATTAAAAACAAAACGGTTGAGGCCTGGCATGAAAAATTTTGAATACTGTCGAAGCCAAGGCGTGGCAGCCTGATGACTATCTGACGAATCTAATGTATATGGCTTTAATTTGTCTTACTTGTAAGTTGGTAGTGTCAAACGGGTCCAACAATTGTTTTACAATTTCAGACAGAATTTCGCAGGTGTGGAGTCAAACAATCAAAAATTGAGCTAAAACTGAGACCCGCCTCATTTAGAAATACGCATTAAATTTCTTCTCGTTGCTTTTGGTGTGTGTAAACTCGACATGCTGATTGCTAGCGCCTAAACCAACCGTCTATACCTTACACTCGGACACCACTAACCAACAACACGTTGTCTAAAATTAACTGTAAGTAGGCACTAGGTATCGGATTCAGCAGACGCGCTATCCGCACCGACCTCAGTGATCACTAACGACTAACATTCTGACTTTCTATGAGCGTGTTAGCCAGGGGCTCTTGCTGTCGCTTGAGACAAGTGACGAAACTGTTGTATAGGGCATGGCTGGCTTGTCAAAGAGCCTCCACTTGGTGCCAGCTGGGTGATTCGGGTTAATTCCGATCCAGCGAATGGTTCGGTGGCAGTGTTCCAGGACGTGGTGTGTTTTCGCATGGCAAGCGTCCTCCCTATAAGAAGCCACAAGAGTCAACTTAACAACACTATGACCTAATTGATGTGACTCATCACTAAATAAATTCACTGTCCTTTGTTTTCTTCCGAGACACTGTACATCAGCAGGTAAGCTGAGCATCGGATTCTGTCTTGACTTCGGCAGTGTTAAGCCCCTGGTATTGCTTTTCGCCATCCGAAAACGTATGAATTGAATGCCTAGTCACCGGCTCCCAACAGGTGCGGAACCTTTATCTCGCCCTTCTGTCGTTCGACCAAAGGCTCGGAGCCGTAGTCCGATAAAACAACCCACCTATTTTGCCTCGGCAACCGGGTAGCATCTTGCCTAATGATGAACTATAGAAACATGCAAATACGCTCACTCTCTTCCGCTTTCATGATGATCCACTGTCCTGTTACTGTAGCAACTTTACAAACACAAGCCAACAACTTACTGACCCTTCCTTGTATCTTTCATTCACATTGTTACTTGATTCTCTAACGTTGAACAACCCACCTCCCTCGATGAAGTTCTTCTCTTATCATCCGTCATCTCAACCACACAGTCCTCGACAGGAGACTGCCAGCCCCGAAGTCTACTGTCTTCGTTACTGCAGCCTGGAATGCAGTTCAAACAGACAACCTTTAACGTGCACACATTACTGCTGGCCGGACAGCAGGTTGAACTTGAACGCACGTTGGCGATCCTTGCGATTGATATCTGCTGTCTGTGTGAACATGACTTCAGCATTCCAACATAGTTTACTAGCTGTCGGCACCAGTCTACCCACACACCCGTTTCCGTCTACGCCTTTCTAGTGACGCTGAGTCTGTCGCATCTGGGCAGGCTGGTGTTGGGATAGCCCTCAAATACCAGGGCCGGGACAGCCCGCCTTGATTAAATTCCGAACAACAGTTGCCTTTTGTGCCATGAGGCTCGGTGTATCTTGCAAAGTTAGTAGACATGGCCCAAAAGAGCGTGTTCTTTTCATGACCACCGACTACGCGTCCACTGACTGCAGCTCGGATACAGTCAAGGACCAGGACTATCAACATCTTCAGGATATGCTCCTAAGGGCGCCTATGACAAACAGCATTATTATGGCAGGGGACTTAAACGCACGTATCAGTCGGCTGCTATCATGTAAACGCCACCTCAAGGGACCGCATAGGTATGACGATATTCGCTCTGACAACAAAGAGACTGCTCAGTCTATGTGCTGACCAGCAACTTTTCCTTTCCATTACGAGCTTTCGTCACGCTGTACACCGCTATACCATTTGGCGTCCTCCATTGGCAACCCAGCGCTGGTCACAAATTGATCACCTAGCCATAAGCTACCGATGGCGCGGCAGCATACACGATTGCTGATCACTTTGGTCCACGTGTGTCAAAACAGATCATGCACTGATGTACGCAAAAGTTTGTATACGCTTCGGTGGCTCACCTAGGGTAGAAGAAATCCGACTAAACTCCTACAAATTAGAGGGCCCAACGGTGAAAATGCAGTATCAACATGGGCGTCATAAAAGTCGCATTCTCTCTCCGACTTTGGATGTCTATCAATGCTGATCAAGTTTGAAACAAGTCATGTTGTCCGCCGGTTTGTCCAGCTGCGGCCTCACACGCAGCACAGCCAGAAGCTGGGTTTCGGTAACATCCTCGGAACTGTTTGATCCTCGACGTGCTGTGTCCGCTGGTGCGGAACACGATGAACTACCTCGGTCTATTTCTCAACATCCGAAATCGAGTCTTCGCTCTTACTGTAAATCCTGGTGGTGGAAGCGAGCTGCTGCGATGGAAGCCGCTGCATCGAGCGGAAACTTCCGCAGTTTATTTTACCTCTTCAAGACCACTAGTTGCAAATCACATGCCATAATAAAATAATTTGAGTCATTTGGCAAGAAAATCACCAACTTACGCATGAGCTTAGGCCGCAAGGTAGAGCACTTCGCTTTCTAATTTAACTACCCAGCGCAGCCCATAGTGACATCTCCGTTCCCCTCGGATGTGGTTTGCCCTGTCCTCACAGATCGTGCTACGGAATCAGAGATCGGAAGCACGATCCAATCTTTTAAACGTTGTAACCCTCCAGACCCTGGCTCTATTCAAAAATGGCGGGAATATACTTAGCAGTGAAATAATAGCACTGTTCTTGTAGGGGTGAATTGACGATAAAGTCACAATTGTATGGAGGAAGCGGCCATTGTCCCGATTCACAAGAAAGGCTCAAGTGAAGATTGCGCCAATTACCGCGAAATTTCGTTGATCTTTGTTGCGTCCAAGATTTTTGTGTCTGTCCTACTCCACAGGATTTCAGCGATTAGATAAAGCGTTTCCCGAGAGGAACAAGTTTGTTTTCGTCCAGAAAGAGGTCGCATCGATTAAATATTCACACTCCGTCAACTTCCTGAACTACATCACGTACATCGAGCGCCAACAACGGTAGCGTTCTTGAACATCCGAGCGACATTTGACCCTGTAGATAGACCTGTATTGTGGAACTGTCCACTAAGGAAAAGTGTGCCCAATATGTTTGTAACAATCCTGTAGGAACTATACAGCCATACATCAGGCAAAGTTAGCGCTTATAGCAGCCTTTCCTCTATGTCTGACGGCATCGGCGGCGCACACAAGTTTGGTCTATTTCACTTCTCTCCTTCACTCTTTTCCTGTAAAGATGTCGTCCAAAGAGCATTGGAAAGCGTCTGGTGAGTTATTACTGCCGACCGTGCAGGGCATGTATGAGTGCGGGTGTTTGTGCGTATATCAATACGTGTATGCATCCTTCCCTACCTTCACTGCGCTCAATGGCACATGCCACCTAATCAAGACAAAGTGAATCGTGCTATCCGCTTGCTCAAAAAATGCTTGTACCGGGTGTTAGGTTAATGTGGTTCGGAGCTAGGAGCGGCTGCACTCAGGTGTTGACGTACAACCGGTACGCTGAATTACTAACTGTACTATGGCGTACCTTGCTTTGCCGGCAGGGATGAGATGGGAGACAGTCGCCACATGGGTGCCTACGAACACAGAGCCCACACTGTGAGAAGTGAACCTTAGCCAGACACCACAGCCGCAATCAATGCGTCATGCCTAGACCGCATGGCAAGACCTAGGGAACGCAAGTGTTCACCTGTGAGAACTAGACGTGAGCCGAACACCACATAGCCGCACTAAACGATCGGTAATCGGCCTTCATGCAGGTGGAAAGCCAGTGAAAGGGTTTCTTGCGAAGTGGCTAGTGGCGCGCTGTGCTAACAACTGAGAGAAACAGCCTGGCCGTATGTGATGACCGGTCGATGAGCGCCGTATTGCTATCGCCCAAAAGCTATTATCGTCTCATGACTGGCTTCCAACAAACCCGTAACTTTTTAATAGGCTGCTTTCACTGCTAAGGCGAAGCATACTGCCGGGAGCACATTATAATGTTACAGTGTTGTTCGCTTTACCGTTTCGATCGCGTGTGTGTTACAAGTGAAAACTCATCCTTCATGGGTGAATAAAAACGATTTCTTGACTTGATTTGACGTTGCAACGCTCGTCGATTTCAGTCTGTCCCGACGCAATGTGGCACCATTAGACAGCACACCAATTTAGTCATGAAGGCAACTATTGCCCTCACAGTTAGACAATTGGTAGTTGTACACATTGATCAGGCCTTCGATGATATTTCTCGTGTACAAATGGAGCATATACATTTAGTCATTTCCTTACTTATATTTAGATGAAATGTGTCCAATGTCGGTAAATATAAACGAATTAGATGTTAGAGGATGTTAGAAGTGCCTACCGTCATCTTGGCTATAGAAGAGCATTTGCCGAATGGTGTTGCGAGCACTTTCTGCAATGTCTCCAACATAATCTGCATATGTTCGTTCACACTGTTCACTTTCAGCTCAACTAGGCATTTGGGTTTCCTTCTATTGACTCTGCGATTCAAGTATCCCCATAGGAAAAATCCATGGGATTCAGATCCGGTGATCGCGCAAGCCACTCTATCGGTCTTCCGCGACCGATCCAACGTCCACCGAATATCTCGTTCAGGTAGGCACGGACCGATGGCGCCGAATGTGCAGGTGCGGCATCGTGCTGCTACCAAACGTTATGCATTAACGCTTCCTACTGTAGCTGCGGAATGACGCTGCTCTGCAACATTTCCATGCACGAGGATGCAAATAAATATCAGACATTGGTACTGTTAAACGACAACCTACTGGACACATCGCTGGTAAAGAAAAGGCGCTACACTGCCAATGGTTGGTAGTTGCCCAAACATGTTTGGTATCTTCGTCATGCAGATGGAACACCGCCTCATCAGTGAACAAAATGGAATGCATGTCCAAACTGTTTAAAAACAAACGGGCGAATTAAAGGCACTTCTGTAAATCGCATGTGT